CTCCATGAGATATGTATAGTATCATGCTACATCATTATGCACTCTTTCCTGGATGTTTGAGATCATAGAATCACAGAATCATAGAATCATTTAGGTTGGAAAAGACCTTTCAGACCATTAGCCAGCGCTGCCAAGCCCACCACTAAACCGTGTCCCCAAGTGCCACCTTTTAAATCCCTCCAGGGATGGTGACTTCCCTGGCCAGTGCTGCTGCCTCAGCAGACAGCCTTTAGAAATTCCCAACTGTTTCATCAAAGTAAACAATTTACAGAATTGAACCAGTAAATACACAAACTTGTCACTGTATCCTTTGGCATTTTGAAAGTATGCATGGAAAAAAGTGTGTGATCGTGTATAAACTCCGATGTGCTTTTTCTGTTGGAATTTTTCTGTCTTCTACTGTTGGAATTTTTAACACTTGCAGGGTACTAAATCCTTTGAATTAATATTAATGAAGTGGTTGGAGCCTACCAAAGGACTGGTCTTTCCTGTGGCTCTTTGAAACAACAGAAGTTTTCACTTCCTTGCCTTTCACCTAATTTCTTCTCCTGTGAGAGACTAAACCAACTGAACACTGCAAGGTACAGAAGTCCCTTACAGCTGTTTCAGTCTGCCATCTGTCACTTGCCAGCACTAAAGCATTACAGCAAATTTCCAGTGTAGAGGCAGACTGCAAAAAAGTGGAGTGTCCCACACCAGAGCACTTCATTCCACTGCCAGAGATATTTTGGCATGACTTCACTGGTTGTGATGCAGCCCAAAGCAGGCTAACCCTCAGGCTTTCTCCAAAACACAGGTTCTCTTGCACAGGCTTTGATACATCAAAGTCCTTTAAATGACAAAAAAAGATCTCGATGAAGCTAGATTTTTTTACTATCCTGGAAAGATAATCTTCAGCTATTACAGAAGGAAAGAAATTGGTGAAATTTACTGGGATATTATTGGCAAGTTGGGGCTGTTCAGCCTAGAAAAGAGTAGGTTGCATGGAGACCTCATAGAACCCTTCCAGTGTCTGAAGGGGGCCTATAGGGAAGGCAGAGAGGGACTCTTCATCAGGAACTGTAGAGATAGAACAAGGAGTAATGGGTTCAAACTGAAAGAGGGGAGATTTAGACTAGATATCTGAAGAAATTATTTTCTGTGAGGGTGGTGAGGCCCTGGCACAAGTTGCCCAGAGAAGCTGAGGATGCCCCATTTCTGGAAATGTTCAAGGCCAGGTTGGGTGGGACTTGGAGCAACCTGATCTAGTGGAAGGTGTCCGTGCTCATTGCAGGGGGTTTGGACTAGATGATCTTTAAGGTCCCTCCCAACACAAACCATTCTATGATTCTATAATTCTGAGTACGCTGCAGATGCTGAAACAGTCTGAGATTATAATTTCTAGCAATTTTTGAAGGCTGAGAGAAGAGAGTGACTCTCTTTGCCTTTAAAGTTTCATTAAAGAGATGATGAAAGTCTGAGAGTGCTTTGAAAATCTAGATTTGTCTCTTCTTCACATGGTCAGTGGTTATTTCCCACCGTGCTTTTTCTGTCACATTGGGACAGTTGTGGGCAGGCTCTCAAAATTTGGGTATTTTCTCTATGCAACATAATGATGTGTCAGTCCTGTCCTTGTGACAATCCCATGCCTGCACACAGGGTTGTGGTGTGGGGCAGGTTTCAACGTGAGGAGCATGGATAAAAGGGGCTCCAGCTGCCCTCTGCTTGCCAGCCCCTTCCTCTAAGTACAACACAGCCAGTCCCAGATGATCACCAGGGAGATCAACTCTACAGTAACTTATTATAGATGATCTTTACTGAAGTCAAATGAAAGTCTGATAACAATCTCAGAGATACTTTGAGAGCTCTATAAGCAATAGGGTTAGTCCACTAGACGTGATCTTTAATACTGATTTCTTGATACGCTGTAAAAGGAAAAAAAGAAAAGGAGGGGCAAGTCGAGTTTCAGAAATACAGCTGCAGATACTAATCCTACAAGATTTTAAGTGATATGTGCTGACACATTTCAGAAAGGAGAAGTGAGCCTTAAGGACTGATGAATGACATTATGGTATGGGTGGACACAAGAGGCAGCTGGACTACCTTTGATTTGAATGTCTCCTCTTCTTCTTTAAAAAAACACAGGAAAAAAAGATGGAGTTTGTTATAGAAAATAGCAGATATCTATGACTAGTCTCATCTTTTAAAAAACAAGCAATTCTGCTGCCAGCAGAGAACATCTGCTTAAATGCCTTCCACAAGGTAAAAATCACAGTTGTTAGTACATGGCTGAGTCATGCTCTAGGGCAACTCAAGTTTTAGTTTAAAGTGTTTTTAAGTTGCATACAAAATTTTCATAGAAAATGAACATTTTATTACTGAGTACTACACTAGCAATTCTCTTGTGAACCACCATCTGAGAAGTTGAAAAAAATATAAATAAAATTGTTTCTAAAAGACAGCAAGGGCAAAACAAAATCTTACAGGATAATGTGTGGAATAATAAAAATCAATCGCAGTCTGATCCTTTCAAAATACTCAACCAAAGCCCAAATAATAAGGAAAGACTGCAGGAGAGAACAGAAAAGTCCACATCCAAATCCAACACTTGACTCTCCCACTTGGCAGAAGAAAGCAACGTCCCAAGGGAGAGATTTTTGTCTTCACTAGGATTGAGTGCACAGCTGTTCCAGTCCTACCTCCTTCAAGTAGAGCAGTATGCAAAATCAAGCAGCCCACAGCACATTGCACCAAATATCTGTCCCTTACTACGGTCTCTCAGCATCCCCATTTTCAGTAGCAAGCTCAGAAAACAGGCATTGAGATATGCTGCACTTTCATGCAATATCCCAGAACTTTTGACTTTAGACGATACAACCAAAGGCAGCAGCGACAAACTTGGAAAAGATGTTATAGCGAGGAGTTAATGAATATCAATGCTCTCAATGTGCAAGGCTTTAAAGATCAAAACTGACCCTATAAAGTTCTGCTTTCCCTTTTCATTCAAGATTTTGGCAAAATCATTATCTAAAGATAGCCCAGATGGGGCTTGAAGGTCCTCCTACCCAATATATTTTGAGAAAGTTTTGCTCTATAATAAGCTGTGTAATATGTGCAGCTACTTAGAATTACATGGAGTTCAGACTCAGCTTTCAAAAGCATATTTCAATTGATTATTACATGCCAGAGAACACTTTTTCTAACTCAGGCCTGAAAATCCTCTTTGATTTATAATGGTCACTCTGGCTGTACATTAGTGCATGTTTTCAGTAATACCACACAGTTTTTCAGAATTTTGACTACGTATGTAAGTGAGAGAAAGGATGGGCTTAATTTCACTAGAAGGGAAAATTCATACTTTAGAAATAAAAAAAAAATAAATCCTAATTAAGAATTCCACTGAGAGGGACAGCACCATAATTTTTGATACTTCTTTCCAGTGTTGAGATTTGCAATGAGGGTCCAATCAATGCTAATATATATTCTATGAGCTGATGAAAGGGAAGTTAGAAATCTTCACGTAAAACTGCATATGCAAATCACTGGTTAGAAGCCCAGCGGCTGTTTGGAAGTGCAATCTTTCAATCAGAACACAGAAATTATGGTGCTAATTTACTGTGAACTCAAATCTCCTTATTTGAAAATAAATAGAAAGATTAACCATTGGACCAATTTACGAAGAACTCCATTCAGTATGTCATCACTTGCATTCTCAAATCAGCATTGGAGGCCTTCTGAATATGTCACTGTTCAGACGAGATTCAATTCAGTAAAGTTTTATGAACAGTGGAGTACAGGTAGAGGTCAGACCAGATCATCACAAAATGCTGTCTTGCTTTTGAATGCATGAGTTAAACAATACATGAGACTTAAATAATCCAGATCTGATTTCTGTAGTCTGCTCAGTGCAGACAGACCCTTTAAATGCACTGGGAATTTAAATAAGTTTTGAGAAGGCCTGAGAAATGAACCTTCTCTATCCTCCTCCTTTCTCTCTTCCTCTGCCTTTCCTATCCCCTTCTCCTTTTGCAAAGCTTAATCTTATTTAATCAGCATCAACATTATTCTTGCAGTTCGGTTATTCATGTGGATTTATATCTGTGTCCACTGTGCTCTTTGAAATGCTCTTGGGGCACACCATCAATTTATCACTTGACAAATCCTCAGGAATACCTGGCAGTATTTTTACCCCAGTGATAACAACCTGCCACGCTCTCTCCAGATGCTCTGTGGCTCAATAACTCCTTGACGTACCTGTGGCATCACACCCACACCTGCTTCTCTGCTGCAATACACTGTGCTGCTGGTACTGCAGGGACCAGGAGGATGACATTCTGCTCTGTCCCTTCAACCTAGAGGCATATTTGTCTTACTGAAGTCACTGCATGTGTGGCTATCTTAGCCTGCATATCAGAACAACTTCTTATAAGAAAAAGTAAGTAGAAAAAGCAGCAACCCAGTTTCAGTTCGACTGGTGAAGTGAGGCACGTTGCAGCACAGTGTAACACCATCATAATTATAGCACATCAAGGTGTATATCACAGCAGCTGCCTTTTGTGTTTGTGATGTCAGAGATGCTGAATATATTCTCACTCAGAGAAAAAGTCATGTCCAACAGTGAGAAAGCTAAGAAATATAGTAGGTTTTCCATTTATACCTGTTGACCTCTCAGAGTCTGTGGGCTACTTCTCAGGGGCCAAAAATCACTCAGAGGAGCAAACCAGTTAAAAGCAAACACAACCAAACTTTATGACCATCTGAGCCACGAAGGAAAACTTGGGAAGGTCTGTAACAAAAATATGTTGCAAACAACTATTTTAATCCACAGGCTTGTGCTAGTGAGATTCTTATGCTGCTTTCATTGCTATTAGCTGAACACCAGAAACATTTGTAAGAGCATATATGCCCAGATAGGGGCATCAAATCTAATTTTCTGGTAAATATATATCAGTTCTGGTAAAATCTGAAGTAACTAAGAATTAACTGCATCACCATATGCCTGTTCTTTTTTTACAGGGCATCCTGCCTCTCCTAGTACAACTTTTGCTTTCTGCTGAATTTCCTGTTCCATATAGCAAGGTGCTTTATTTCTTCACTATGATTTTACTCTGCTGCAACACACATTTTGTGTCTTATAGGCAGGGAGCTGAAGAAAAGTCAAGGATGGGATGAGGGTAGCTGTTATAGAGATGGTAACTGCCATTTACCCAAAAAATGATTGCTGTTAAACTATTCCTCCCCAGCAGAATCCTGAGGGATTTGGCTGCTGCTGGTGGTACAGCTTTTAAGCAAAACAGTAGGACATAAAAGACATGTATTAATTTATAAATCATACATACAACTCCTACCTATCTCTTCGGAGTGGTCTTATAGAATACCTGGTCATATACATATCCTCTAACTTTTCTAGCAATAGTTTAAATAAACACAAGGTGTCAAAGAATCATCCACAGTCCAAGGAAAAGGAAGGAAAAAAGACTCAAATCCACACAAACTTAATTGAAGCTAGAATTACTGAAGCTCCATCTCTTGCAGTTTCACATTGGTGCACTTCAATTAAGGCATAATAGGAGTGAAAAGTAATTTAAACTTATAGATTAGATGTCGTCTGTGAAAAATCGCCGATTAACTCACAGTGGGCTTCTGGAGCACCGGAACAAACGTCGTAGTACTCTGAGTTTCACTTTTCAGCTGGCACCTTGATACCACAAAAGCAAAGCTGCAATGCCTTTATTTACAGGTGCTGTGAACAAATACTTTACAGACGTGGGCACGCACAGGCTCGTGCTATCAGCACATTGATCCTCACTACACAGAGTTTCACTCACCAAAAAAGTACCATCGCAAAAGCGCCTGTACCGTTTGCCATGACAATCTAAAATCTTTAGTTGGTCACTGAAAGGCAACTTTTTTTACTCTGTTCTATTATAATTAGAGAATTCTTTGAAAGGTTGCCTATTGCAACCTCAACTAAATGCAGAGCTACAGTTTTCTGTTGGGTGTTGCATCCTGTCATCCTACTCCATAATGAGTATTATATGCATTACCACTACATCATCTGAAAATGATGGACCAGGCTCATTGCTCTTTTAAATCTAACTAATTCTAGTCATGTCAAGAAAATCTGACAGTTCATACCAAGCAAGGATGTAATTCCAGGCCATTAATCTTTTGAGATATGCAAAACCATCACGTTATTAAGTACATTCATAGATACAGCATCAACCATACAGCGTCAACAAAGTGTCTAAACTAAGTAATATTTCATGGGTAGCATAAAATAATTGATATTTCATATAATTATGTGAGATGACTGAAAGCTGAAGTAAGAGCCTGGGAATCTTTGGCAAGAGAAATGTGTGTACATGTGCCATCCAGCTTCTGATAACTGAGATTGCTCTATATTTAAAGATTTCTGCAACAAATAGAGTGAAAAAAACCCAGAGTCCAGCTGAGGTAAATACACTGTTAAAGATGCTAACTTTGCATTTACTGCCCCTATATTCAGTCCACAGCAGGAAGCCAGGTATTCAATATTGCATAGTTGGAGGGTATCACAACAGCCTCATCTGGTTTCATCTTTTTGCCCTCAGAACACAGAAATCTGGTAAGTACCAAAGTGAGGGGAAAAAAATCCAGCAAAATGTAAGTTACTTCATATTTCCGTCAAATATTTTAAAATTTAAGTTTTATTTTTTTTTTTTTTTGAAAGCCATTCTGTAATTATAATGTAGTGCTTTGATATAATACAATTGCATGGTCTTTGAGCATGAGGATTCTTTTATCAGGAGGGTAATATTCTTCAGTTACTCATGTTTGGGCTAAATTAGATGTCTTTCAGCTTACAACACCCACTTACAGCCAAACTGAGAGGAGGAACACCAGTCAGAGGTCGCAGGGAACACACTCTCAGCCTTGAGGAAGAAATGAATTTATACAAAATGGTCACATCTAACAAAACAGTGCTCAGAAGAGGACAAGAATGTCAAGCACTTCTATAAAGCAGCTAAGAAACATTGGCAAGGAGTGGTTTGCTGAGAGACATCACTTTGCTATTTTGCTGCTACAATTCTTATAGCTTACTCCAAAGGGAACTAATATGCACAGGATTCACACGGTAAGTAAAACGGTGCTAATTTGTTTTTAATACTTAAGCAAATACTACAGGTTCTAAAGGCACTTTCTTAGCCTCAGATGAGTTGGAAAATCTAATCTGTGCTAATTTTCCCAAAAACAGATGGTACATGAATTAAACTGTGTAGACCCTTTTAAGCTTCCATTCTCACTAGGTCCCTTTTGGGATAACTAATGTTCATTTCTTAGGGCTCTATTCTCCTGCACTTATTTCTCTTAAGTAACTGAAAACAGCCTCCTTAATTGCATAGGAAGATACACTCAAGGGGAGAAAAGTCATAGAGTTTGGGCCTTCAAGGGATTATGTTATATATGCAAAGCTTGTCACTAAATTCAATATTTTTTGCATGGACAGCACAGTGCTATCTTTGTTATTTACAATGGAAAAATGTTTCACTCCAGTCCAAGAAATATTATTAGCTATGGAAAGCAGGACTATGCCAGTAAACCTCATTCATTTACATCGGCTGAAGGCAGGAGGTATGAACTCATAGGATGAAAAGCCACCTGACCTGAAATTAAAGATTGCAGACAGTATTAACAGGTGACTTCAGATGTTTTTTATTATTGTAAATGGCTTAAAGCCTCACCACAGCCCTGGGATAAATTTTGTTAGTAGGTAGAAAAGGTTAGAGGTAGAAAAGGTTTGTGCAAAGGAAATGAATCGACATGTGAAATAGCATTAAAAGAGAGTTTATTAAATGAGTTCAATTCACAGCTTAGGAGACTAAGAGCAGATTTCTGCTGATGTTGTTGCAGCATCATAATTTTTAAAAGAAAAAAAAAAGGTTCAAAACCCCTTCAGTTATAGGATACTGTGTTCTGGAGCTGTTGCACCTCCTTACACAACACTTGCCACCTCTCTGTCCTCTAAGCCAGACATTTCCACAGGGCACATGAGCAAGACCAAGTCCCAGAGTCTCCTTAGATTTCAGTTATGATTTGCTCCATAAGGGAAAAGGTTGAAGGAAAAAAACGTGAATGGTCTATTACTCTCCTCCTTTTCTATGACATTTACGTGTTGCCTTGAATTACTCTGGAATCAGGATGGTTTACAGTATGTTATGTTTTTATCCTCACCCTGAATAATTAGGTAATAGCAATACTCAGTCATAGGAACAAGGAGATAGCCCAAAGAGGGGAGTGACATGCCAAGATTATAGAGGAAAGCTGTGGTGTGAGAGGTAGTTGAACCTAGCTCTGAATTGTGAAGACAGAAATAGGATCTGGTAGATTTAAGCAATGAAATAGAGAATTATTGTGCCATTATATTTTGTAGATTTCTTTTTAAACCACATACCCACCTTTACAATTCCAGTGTGAATACTCTTTTAACATACTACATAATGTAAGTTGGGTGCTAACTGATGAAATAAATTGAGTTTTAATGGACAACACACCCCAAATGACACATCAGTAATTACCATCAATCTCAAGCAACATCCTGAAGAAGTTACTGAGTGTAAAACGCATCTGCTGATTGCAATGGATTGCATTCTTGGTCTGCTTAAGATTTGTAAGAAAATGTATCTATACTCAACATTAATTCTGCTGACTCTGAGGATTGCTTCAGTTAACAAAGGCATCTCTGACACTGCAATATTGAATCACGTCCCATTTCTGGCAAAGTACTTCTAGCAAAATACCAGCTGTTTTCAGTGGAGGATCAGTGTGATACAATGAGTTGATGTGCTGGCTTGATTAATCTTTATATGATTTCCCAGCTTCTAACATAACATGTGCATAACTTTCTATTTGTAGTCACTGGTGTAGAACATCACTTGACAGTTAAAGTACTTATGTTCCTGTTCTTTACTCAGGAGGCAGTCACTGAAGAAAGAAAGTTCATCTCTTTTCATTTGTTAACTTCTGAAAACAGCAGTGATGGGTTGACTGCATAGACTGTAGAAAGGGAGTGGCTCAATGACTACCAGTTTCATTTAGTGTCACTCTGTGTATCGTTACTGTTTTCTCCATCAGAACAAAATGTACCACATGTGTTTTGCTTTTCAACGATCCATCAGTTCAAATTCAAAGAAGATGACAAATCATTTTGTTAATTCTCATGGAAAAATCACATATGATTTGGGAAATAAGTAGAATAAGTCCCTAAATATTTAGAATTAGTCTCAGTAGTTTTAAGACAATATTTTTCTTTCTAGGGTAGAAATTAGAACTTCTACTGTGTCTTCTCAAAATTACAATTCTTTGCTGCAAGTTTGGAAGACTATTTAACAGCATTATAGAAGACCATTTAAAAGCATTACAGTGGCTGGAATACTGTGATCTCCCCAACTCTCAATAAGTCAATCTCCATCTATGACAGTCTATATGAAGGTGGATCTAATCTAACAGTTACCTGTTTGGGTTTTTTTCCCCCCCAATCCGCTTAAGACTTTTTTAATTCTTTATTTGCTGCTTCATTCCAAACCATTTTTAAATACTGCTGTGCACTGCCCCAGCTATTGTTTCCCAGAATGTATTCATCATAGTCAACAATGTGTTATATCTCACACTAAAAGTGACTAAACACAAATACTGCTATGAAAAATATTTACTTTAATACTGTAAATCACTGCCTGATAGCTGTTGGGAACAGGCCATGTAGGAGAGTTTATTCTTCCTTCTACCTTTGTCCTTCTTCCCAGAACTATGTCAAAATAGATACAGAGCATGAAAAAAAAAGGTGCTATGTGCTAAAAAAAGTGTTGAGTGAAAGAATGCTATAGTTGGACAGTAAAAACTTGCTATTGCTTGGGGGTTCCAGGCTTCTTACATTTTAAATATGTATCATGTGAATCCCTTCTCCTTTTCAAAGCATAGGAAGAGCTGTGAAACCAGGAATGTGTTCTCTGCTTTAAAAATTTAGTGATGAGTTTGTTTTTTTCTCTTTTTATAATATATACATGTATATTAGGATCGATGAGTTTCATTGTTGACAAATAAAGATCAGAGAGCTTTCTGCATGTCACAGTATCCATGCATACACCCCTTCCCCACATAGACAGAGCAGGTATTGGCCAGTGCACAAACCACAGTAAATAAGGAGGCACTGTTATTATCATATAAATGATAAGAGCTCAGATAATAAATGTGGGATGGAAGAATGAACACACCCAACATCCGTATGGAAAAGCCATCCAAAATGGAAATCTTTACCTGTCGCTTCCTATGAATTTGCCCATGGGGATTTTGCAATGCTTTCCAGAACAAATTATTGTTTTCTGAAGTAGCAAAGACAGTGAACTTAATGAAGATATTCCCATTAATTTCATAGACTCTACATTCCTCATTTAAAACAGGGTCTGCACATTGGTACATTTCCTGCTGTTTATTGTTGTTGCAAAAAAATCTCATGTATATGCTTTAAAATCAAAACCTGAAGCTATTTATTCCAAAGCCATTAATTGATTGGGGAAGATGCTTATTATAGAATAATAAAAAATTTGCTTCACAGCTCAACTGTTGAATCTATTTACTGTTTCCAATAACACAAAGGGAACAAATGGAAGTAGCAGTTATTTCATCACTAAATTGGTTCCTTTCATCTGTTTTCAAATTAGTAATCAGATTACCTTTTGTCTACACTCTCTCGATGGAGGGGTGAACAGAATGAACTTTTCACCCCTCGAATCTTTTATATTCAAAGCATTTGTTTTCCCACAAGCTAAAGAAAAAATAATTACGCAATCTTTGTTCCCACTGCAGGCACCTAGCAGGTTTTAAATATAATAAATGCATTCTGGCAAAGTTAATGTAGCATAAAATCAAGCAGACTGTATCACTCTTTGATACATATACCTGGTAAGCCATCACTGAAAATAACAATAATTTATGCTAACAGATTATTCATCCATAGCAGACCCACCTTCTCTGTCAGGGAAGGTATTTTAAGATACAAAAGCATAATCCCCTCCTCCTATATGTTTTCCCTGAGTCTATTATTTACCCAGGATGCACAGTCTGGTTTAAGTCCTGCTTTTAGTCAATTTTATAGCACAACTGAAACACTGGAAGTCAAGTGACTCAATGAAAGGTCACACAATGAATCTGTGCCTCAATGCAAACCAGGGCTTGGATGCAGCCAACACCTGCTCCCTCATCCTAGATCATCCTGCCTCCTCTTGTGAAAGCATTAGCCTCAAAAACAAGTTGGTCTTGCATATTCCGTCATTAAGGGCAGGTGAGGCTCTGGAGGCAGAGCAAACTGCCCTGGTGAAACCAGCTTAAATCCTGGCTGGGTTCCTCTGTGTTGTCACAACTGTACTTTCATGCGACAAAACAGTGCAGATGCCAAGGTCGTAAAAAGTTTTATATGGCTGTGCCTGCCGTCTCTTCAAGGTGGGTTGGTGAGGTGAAGGGCTACAGACAGAAAAATGGAGTAATAAAGTTTAAATAGTGGGCAATAATATCCATCTGCAGTGCTGAAATGCCGATTAAGAGATTGAAAAAACTCCCTGTGGCTCTAATTGGATTTTCCTGTGTTGTGCACAACCCTTGGGGGCCAAACGCTGATAAAGCCTCCTTGTGCCGCCTGTTTATCCCACGTGTGTGACTCCATGTAGTGGATTTATCCATAAAACACACAAATTCTTACAGGGCTGTGGAGCTGAGCTGTTGCAATGCCCTTTAGAGACCACTGTGTATTACTCAGAAAACCACAATCTCATCAATTAGCAAGACACAATACAACACTAATGGCAATCTAAAATTTTTATAAGAATACTATATTAAGGACAATAAAAGAGAATGCAGAAGTCTATGTGTGGTTAACTAACTTAGATCTTATACGTTGCTAACCGTAAATGTAAGTGCATTTGAAGAAAAATTTAAGTATATTTGAGGAACAAACACAAAACACATGGTAAATACTAAGTTTTGAAAAATAATATTTGTCTGGGAAAAAAAAGCTCTAGCATTTGAACAACATTGCCTTCTGCTAAACTGAATCTGTTTTCATTTTTGAAGGTCTTCACATCTACTCAAAA